TGTGTAAGAGAATAGAGTTAGCCACTACAGTAATAGAGTTCAGGAAACCGTGAAGTGGGCTAAGATCTGGAAGGGGTGTTGTGTAGTATTTACAATTGTATGGAACAGCTATTATTTACAATAATAATGGAGCAACAATCACATGACAGAATTTATGTGACAGAATCTGGATAACAAGAATAGGAAGTATAGCACCCTACACCTCGAGTAGTGTGCTAATGGAACACAAGTGAAGTGAGGGACAGTAAATTAGCAATATACTATGAAAGAGAGAACAGGGGAAACCTGTGAAACAATACAATTTAACCAGCCAAGCAAAGAAGACTAAACACAAAGAAGAGGAATACAAAAATACTGATAAAATAAAAGATGTAAGAATAATGAAAAATAATAATACAAATATGCAATAACTTTTAGGTTCTCTGTAGTAGCAAAGTGTAATTTGTCTCACTTGTCTCAGCTTTTGGGATGACCCCTCTTTGGGTCCAACTCTGGTCTTTTCACAGTTCCAGGGGGTTTTTTTACTCACTTGTAGGAATTGAAAAAAAAAAAAAGGAAGGAAGAAGAGATAAAATGGGAAAGAAAGGAAGAAGGAATAAAACAAGAAAGAAGGGAAGAGAGGAAAAAGGAGTTGAAAGATAAAAGAATAATAATAAAACATTTTTTAAAAGAATTACAAAAAAAAAAAGAGCTTCTTGCTGGCTCCAATCTGGCCAAACCGGTTCTGCTGGTCTCCCTGGCTGCAGCAGGCTGAGGGACGACTGGTTTTGCTTTTCTCCCTTCCTGATCCGCAGTCAGTCAGCCTCCAGCGCAGCTCCCCAGCAGCCTCTGGTCCCTCGAGTCCCACAGTGCGGGTGCGCACTCTCCCCAGGGCTAGCCGGGTGCCTCTCCCAGGGCCTTTGGGTGTGGGATCCAGGCCTTCCTCAGGGCGCACTCTCCCTGGGTTGCAGGTGTGCGCGCTCAGCCAGGACACCTCCGGTCTCTCAGGTTCGGGGGGCGTGCTCTTCCCAGAGCTATGGGGGCGCGCAGGGCCTTCCGCGCCACCTCGGAGCACTGCCCAGCTGGGTGGGGAGGAGGCCGGAGCGGCTGCTGCAAGAGAATTCTCCAAACAGGGACTCTTTTTTCACTTTCTCTCTTTGAGAAATTCCTCCTACTCAAGCCTGCTGCTCTACAGCGGCCTGGCCTCTCGCACAGCCCAATTCTCCAGCCAGACCAGGACTATCCGGGTCAGGGCCAGGACCAGCTCAACTCTCAGCTCTCCCCAGCCGGGCCCACAGACTCCGTGGGTGCTCACAGTCCCTGTGTGTTTGCCACTTAGACCTTATCCCCCTCTCTGCGACTTCAAGCAACCAGGCCTCTCCGGGTGCTGCTCAAGCCTTGTTTGGCTGGGGAAGGAGCCGTTGACCCGGCTCTCTCCCAAGGACCCTGTGGCAGACCCAGCCCTGCAGCTGCCCTGGACCCCCCCACACACACACCCAGCGCTGGTCCCTGGGACCTTATTGTCCTGAAGCACTCCCCTTACCATCTGTTTTTTCAGTGTCCGCTACAATTGTTGGTCTCCTACCTTTGTATATGCTGGGGTACTGCTGGCTGTTTGCTCTGTTTCTCCGTAGATCGGCTAGGTTTCTCTCCCATGTGCAGGGGGGAGTGGAACCCACTCCCCCGCACCTCACCGCCCTCTTCTCTTCAAATCATGAGGATTTTGTTTTAAATACATTGTTATTTGGATGCAGTAACTTAAGAGAGGTTCTGGGAGACTGGGTACTTTGGCATATCTTTTTTTTTTTAAGATTTTATTTATTTACTTTAGAGAGGGGAGGGGAAGGAGAAAGAGAGAGGAAGAAACATCAGTGTGCGGTGGTTGCCTCTCAGGCACCCCCTACTGGGGACCTGACCCGCAACCCAGGCACGTGTCCTGGGCGACCCTTTGGTTCACAGGCCGGCACCCAGTCCACTGAGCCACACCAGCTGGGGCTGGATATCTTTATATAGGAAACAGACCTGCTATTTCTCAGGCCGGTTGCTCCTGGAATCGACTCGGCAAAGACATCAGGTGGAGTTTGACGGCGAAATCGCCCTTGGACTGCCGCTGCCGCTGTTCCTTTCCCATGTTTTCCACCCAAGCTAGTAATGCCTGAAAAACCTCAGTTCCACGTGGACAAATTTAATTCTGGGTGTTCTTTTCGCCGCCTCCCTGCCCATGTCGTCAGCGTCAGCAGCGGTCGTCCTCCTACCCCCCCGACGGGAGTCTCAGCTGCCGCCGCTCAGATGCTCTCCACCTGTTCACAGACCACTCCATCCAGGGCGGAAGCCCAGGAGGAGGACGCAGCCGCACCCCCGTCAGCACAGCTGCGGTGAGGAGGACTGCCCATGCCGAGAGCTGGCGAGGAGCTGGTGGATCTGGAGCCTGCGCACAAGCTGCTGGGGATGGAGCATATTGCAGCCTCTTTGGGGGAAAAAAAAGGGCAGCTTTTTAAAATGCTAAACATACACCTACCATATGATCCAGCCATTCCGCATGCAGGTACTTAGCCAAGACTCATGAAAGCCCTTGTGCCGCCAAGACTTGCACGGAAAGCTCACAGGCTCCCTGGCCAGGCAGCTCCGTGGGTCGGAGCGTTGTCACCTACAGCAAAAGGTTGTGGGTTCGAGTGCATGAGAGGCAGTTGGTCGATGTTCCTCTAACCCCCCTCTCTCCCCCACCCACCCCACTTCTCTTTCCCAAATCTATAAACATTTCCTCAGTTAAGGATTTAAAAATAAAAATAAAAGGAATGCGCCCTGGCTGGTGCGGCTCAGTGGACCGAGTGCCGGCCTGTGAACCAAAGGGTCATGGGTTTGATTCCCAGCTGGGGCACAAGCCTGGGTTGCGGGTCAGGTCCCCAGTAGGGGGAGCGCGAGAGGCAACCATGCACTCATGTTTCTCTCCCTGTTTCTCCCTCCCTTCCCCCTGTCTAAAAATAAATTTTAAAAATCTTTAGAAAAAAAAGGGAATGCACACAGCTGCTCCATCTGTAAGAGCCCAAACGGAAACAAGCAAATATCCAGCCACAGCCGAACAGAAACACAAATGTGGTCCAGGCACAGAGTGTGACAGCCAGCAGCAGCAAGGGACCGACACTGACACGCTCTGCCACACCAGGGTCTCGGCGCCTGTGGGGACTGAAAGGGGCTGGACAGGAAAAGGGTACTGGCTATATGACTCCGTTTTCTTTCTTAGAAATGCAAACTGATCTGCAGTGAGAGAAAGCAAATCTGAGGTTGCCTAGGGCTGGGGCTGGGGCTGGGGCACAGGCGGGGAGGGCTCAGGAAGGGCCACTGGGAGCTGTGGGAGGGGCCCCCACAGGCAGGCCCCGGCTCTGGCTGACAAATGGCGGGCGAGGGCCCCGCGGGTTCTGAGCTGCTGCCATTGCTGTTCCTGCTCTTTGGACCATGTGGCTTGTAATCTGGCTTCTGTCTTGCTCTGTGACCAGCACCCTGGGTTTCACCCGGTGTGGAGAGGGTGACTAGTGTCCAGCCCCAGAGTGCGAGGAGTGTATCCCTGCTGGAGACATTAGGAAACAAGCTTTAGAGGAGACAGCCCAAAGGCAAGGAAATGAATAACCAGGCTGGCTCCAGTCTCAGCAATGCCAGCTCCTAGCCAAGGCAGACAGAATTTTTTTTCATTTAAGCCAATGTCACTACCGTACACGGACGAATGTGCGAGCCCTCCTGTGTGGCCCAAGCATTTCAGGGGTCACAGCGAGTTACCGAAGTCACACCAAAGCGCCCCTTGCCCGTAAGCCTAAGGCTGTTCAGCAGCACCTCCCCCGCAGCCCCAGTGTGCGCATTTGCAGACGTCAGCTCTGCTCTGACCGCTCTGCACAGGGCTCCTGAGGCCAGAGCCTGGGCAGGCAGACGGTGAGTCCCACGGGTGGGCGAAGACTCTGGCTGCTCCTCATCCCAGGCCCGGCCCCCGGCAGAAAGGCGCTGGCCCCTCAGCCTCCCTGGCCCAGGGCTCCTGCGCCTTCTCCGCACGGCCCTGCTGGGACCGTCTCACACTGGACGTGCGTCAGCTTTCTGGGCACGCAGCGTGGCCGCGACCTGCAGCAGCCCCTCAGCCAGGGTCGGGGAGTGTTCTTCCTCCCACGAGGAGTTCCTCCACGGAAACGCTGTGTTTCCTCCCTGGCCAGGGTGGGGCGCGGGCCTGAGCCCATCGGGGTCCGTGTCACAGGAATCTGCAAAGGGCCACGAGCGATCTGGGCTGTGTGCCGGTGGGTCGGCCACTTGGCAAAAACCACAGTGCGTGCCGTTTGGTGTCTGCCGCGGGCCCTTCCTCCTGCGCCCATGGGACACCTCGCGGTTCACAGTTTCCCTTCTGAGTGAACCAGCTCACGCCGGGCTCTGCTCCCCGCCAGGGAAGACCTTAAAATAGGGCTCCCAAGGGGTGAGGAAGCCATCAGAAGCTCCCGGGCACCCCGAGGCACCCCGCCGCAATCCCTGGAAAGCCTGGGCAAACAGTTTTTCCGGCTGGCTTGAACCCGGGACGTGACAGGGTTTCGCCGCAGGCCGGAAAAGAGCTTGGACGGACGGCGTGCAGTCCACCCCCGGGCCCACAAGCGGAGTCGGGCGCTGCGGTCGACGCTCACCGCTCGGCCGCCCGGGGACCCTGCCCTCCACACACAGTCCTCTCGTGGGTCCTCTCTCCACACCGCAGGACGGCGTGTCTCCCGCCCAGGCGGTCACCCCCACGGGAGCTGCTTCGGAGCCACCCCCACTGATTTCAGGGGCGGAGACCCCGTGGGAAGTGAAGACCAGACCTGGCCCACGTGCCCGGGTCAACTTGTTCGTTTCAAAAGTCAGCGTTTAAGAAATGCCACTGACATCCCGTGTGCCGGGCGTTGTGCAGCGGCCCGTCTGCCGGCGGGTGGAGGAGGCAGGTGGAGTCCATGTGGGTTTGGGTGGAGTTGCGGGGGCAGATAAGGAGTCCAGAAAACATCTCTTATTACAGAAATACTTGTTTATTTATTCATTTCATCTTTCTCTTTCCCTTTCAGGCGTGACAGGCTCCCTGGGTCTGTGGACAGCGAGACCAGCTCTGGGAAGCCTGCGACCTCCGCGTCATCACTGCTTCTCCCGCTGGAAAGGGTCTTCCCCTTCAGGGTCTCTATGAGCTGCTGCAGTCGTTTGGCAAAAGAAGGGGCTTCGGAAGGTTTGGTGGGAGGCGGGGGTGGGGGAGGTGGGGGAGGTGGGGGTGGCGGGGGTGGGCGTGGAGGAGGCTGCAGGGAGGGGACCTGCAGGGGGGGCCGGGGTGTGGGTTGGGATGCAGCTGGTCGAAAGGGAGGCTGTTGGGAAGGGTATTGGAAGTACCAAGGAGGGCGGGCAGAAGGGCGGGGGGAGGAGGAGGCTGAGCCGGGGCCTGTGGCGGCGCTGGGAGGGGGAGGGGTGCTCGGCTGAAGCCTCTCCAAGGCCTTGGAACCGATCTTGGAAGCGATCCAGCTCAGGTAGGGCCAGGTGCTGGTGTAGATCCCAGGGCGCTTCGCTCGGGCACAGCCCACCCCCCAGCTCGTGATTCCGGCGATCACGTAGGGGTCCTCTGCCCTTCTTCTGCACATGAGAGGCCCGCCACTGTCCCCCTGCCAGGAGGACACAGGACGCACACTGTGCTGAGCCGCTGTCCCTGCTCCCAGGACCACAGGGGCTGTGGTGAAGGGCCAGCCGGGGTGGGGAGGGTGCGACGGTCCCGGGCTTCCTTGCGGAGAGGAGGGAAGGGGAGGAGCCCACGCGTGCCCAAGTGTGGCTTCACAGGCCCACATGAGCGTGTGTGTGTGCACGTGGAGTTGAACGCTCGGGGTGCTGCTTGGGTGGTGTGGTCTCTGTGTTAGGGTGAGAGAGAGGCTGCACGTGGTGACCGGTCCATTGCAGGGGCAGCTGGTGGGGGTCACCTCCATGTTCATGGTGACTGCAGACATGGGGCCAGGAAAAGGGTCACCAGAGTGGGGCCCTGGAGCATGTGGAGCTGAGGGACCCAAGAAAGTGGGGTCCGCAGGGGCCCGGCACCCAGGGACCGTCACCTGGCAGGTGTCCACGTAGCCCTCGGGCTGCCCTGCACACACGTTGGTGGAGCGCATGCGGCCTCGGTACCACAGGGTCGAGTTGCACAGGCCGAGGTCGAGGATACTCACAAGGGCCTCCTGCAGCACGGGCGACATCTTTTGGGCTGCAACAGGCGACTCGGTGGTCAGTGGTCTCAGGAGACACGCCCCTGCGTCTGGGAAAGCCCCGCCTCCTCCCTCCCCTGAACCCTGGTCGTCCGTGAGGCTCTGTTCAGACCTAACAGCCAGGAGAGCCCGAGGCCCTGGCCTGTGCTTGCACACGCGGACGAGAGACAGGGCGGACGGACAGAGGAAGAGCCCAGACGAGGGGCCGCGGGGCCTCGGGGGAGGACGGGTGCGGCCGCAGGGGGCTGTGCACGAGTGGTGGCCGGTGGCTCACGGAGGCTGCTGGTAAGATCAGCAGGCGTGAGCGGACGTGCACGATGAGCCACACAGACGTCATCTTAGTCCTCGCAGCCCCTGTGACCCCCGTGACCTCCCTGCCCCCCTGCCCAGGGGCTGGGGCTCCCCTCTCCAAGGTCACACAGGGCTGCAGTGTGGCTTGGGTTCAGGCCCGGGAGTCCCTCTCCAGGACCAAGCCCAGGGTCTGGCTGGAAGGCGCCCTCCCCACTCTCCCTGCCAGGACTCCTCCGCCCCCGTGGACAGGCCCCCCGGTTGGGCAGGGGAGTCCTTCCCCAAGGGCCCCCTCTGTCCCGAGCAGGTCATGGGAAGGCAGAGCTGTGGCCGGGCCTCCACACAGAGGCACAGCTCTCGGGCCAGGTCAGGGCTGCCTCACGCCCCAGAAGCTCTCTTGGGGTCCGGGGGTGAAGAGGGGCCTGGCCAGGGTGACCCCGAACAGGGCGCACTGCGTCAGGCGGAGACGGCAGAGACGGCCCCACAGCCGACGCAGCTGTGTCCTCGGGGTCACGTGGCCCCACAGATGACGGGGCCCTGACAGCAGCCGCCGCTGTGGCCCCACAGCCTAGGAGGTGGGTTTGGACACCCGCTGCCATGCAGGTGGGGAGCAGGCGGGTGGGGCCTGGTGCGGGCGGGGCTGGAAGGAGCTCCTGGGCTGATCGGGAGGCAGGAGCCCAGCGAGCCCCGCGCAGGGCCAGGCACACGGCAGGAGGCGTGGCTGGCTTCCGGTGCCTTCAGTGCCCTCCTGCCCCGCGTGGGGGCAGCAGTGACAGCATGCATGAGCCCTGCCCTGGAGGAGGGGTGACAAGGAGGTGCCCACATCCAGCTGGGCCTGTGAGTCACCAAGGTGACCCAGCCCTGGGTCGGGAAAGCCTGGGCCTTGTGTTAGGAGCCAGGTGTCCTCCAAAAGGGACGTTCTCAACCCCAACGCCTGTTTTACACGACCAGCTCGGGAGCTGAGCCTCATAGGGAACGGGGAGGGCGCCAGGCAGCAGGAGGAAGGGAAGGCCAGGACGGCCCCAGGGCTCAGAGCCCGAGATCCCTTCAAGACTTGTCCTTGGAGGTGCGGGTGTGGGAGAGGGAAATGTGGGTGTCAAAAACGACAGAAGTCCCTTTAAGTTAGCTGAGAGGGATTCTGGAACAAAAGAGGTCTCGGGGAGGCCCAGGGTGTAGCTGGGAGCCTGCGCCCCTCGGGAGCCCACAGTGGCAACGGGTGAGGCGGGGTGGGGGTCGAGGGAGGAGCAGAGCAGGGAGGGCCCGGTGGGGGACGGGTGTCGGGGGGAGTCCCAGAACACAGGCACGCCCATGGCAGAGCCTCGGACAACAGCAGCACGGCCAGAGACGGTCGCCCGGCCAGGAGGCAGGCCGGGGGGTCGGCTGGAGCCAGGAGAGGCAGGGCCCCTTCCAGGGAGCAGGCGGCGGCGGCCCTGCCAGAACCCGGGCGCAAGCGTCAGGGAGGGGAGGACGAGCTGGCGAGGAACCCTGAAATGGCTGGTTTGGGGAGTCACCAAAAAAGGCGGCGTGTGAAACCCCACGTGGCTGAACCACCTTTGATCCGGAAACCTACGTTTTCTGTCACGGAAGCAACAGCAGATGCTGAGGACCAAGTCAGTGTCATCCACATCCAGGCCCCTAGTGTGACCCTGGGGTGACAACTCAGGCAGCTGCTTGTGCGTGCAGAGGCCGCTGGGGCGTGCACCTGCCCGCGGCCAGGCCCTGCTTGCCCCCGTGACGCCCCCACCTGTCCAGACACACCCACACAGCGGCAATGAGTGGGGTGCACGTGGGGGCTGGGCCTGCCAGGGAAGGGGGCAGAGGCGCTGGGCTCCGGCCCTTCTGCTCACAGGCGGGGAAACTGAGGCCCAGAGAGAGGAAAGACTGGCCTACAGCCACAAAACCCTGCCTGAGCTTCCCCCGCAGATCCGGAATGCAGCTCCTGGGCTCCAGGCCCCGAGGACAGACAGCCTGGACCCCGCTCTCAGAATGCAGGGTCACCCCTGTGCGTGCTCCGCGGCCCCCACCGGGCGCAGCTGCGGCCCGGCCCACAGCTTCTCCAGCTGGAAAGGGGCCGGGATGGGAGCTGCCCGGGCACCATGCGAGGACAGCTGCTCCGCCGGGCCTTGACCACTCCTGTTCCCCCTCAACGTGAACCCCGGGCAGGACCCGCCGTGCCCCCGGGAGCCCCTCCCGTGCTCACCGTTCTCCCTCAGGAACCCCCAGCCGGTCACCCAGCAGGACTGGGACACGCGGGGCGGGCCTGCCGAGAACTGGGGCAGGCAGCCGGGCCCGATGAAGGAGCTGCAGACGACGGGAGGGGTGATCTTCACGAGCGCGATGTCGTTGGCCTCCAAGACGGGCGAGTAGCTCTCGTGGAGGACGATTTTCTCAACAAACCTCTCCTGGAGGGGCGGCTTCACCGGCTGGTTGCTGCCGTACTCGATTTCCCTCGCCCCGAAAACCAGCCTCCAGTCCTGGGCTTTCCTGTGGGCACAGGGGGAGCTGGGCGTCCTCCCTGGGCTGCAGCCACGACCCTCAGAGCCTCCCCCAGCAGGGGTCACGGTCTGCACGCTGACGGTCTTGTCGCCGCCAGGCCCAGAGCCCCGGGGACACGGGGCAGAGACCCCGGGAGAATGCCCCTGGCCGGGGGCCTTCGGAAGAGCCCCTCCCGGCGCTCCCACACGTACTTCTTGAGCCTGAAGCAGTGGGCGGCGGTGAGCACCCACTGGGCGTTCAGCAAGGAGCCCCCGCAGGCATGGTACCGCCGGCTGTCGTGGTAGCTGAAGACCTGCAGGCTGACCATCCAGGGCCAGGACCCGTGCACGGCAGCCTGGCCGCCCACGACGCGCATGGTCCCTTCCCGGTTCCGCAGCCCGCAGGGGCCGCTGGGGAGAGACCGCGGGTCAGACCGGGAGCAGGCCCAGCCGGTCCTCGCGCCTCCGCAGAGGGCGGGGCCGTGGGGCTGGGGCCGTGCTTGCGGGGGCTGACGCAGCCACAGCCTCCAGGACCTGGGAGGCGTGTGACATCCAGGGCCCCGTGGGCGTCGTCACCCGTGGGGAGAGAGGGGCCACGGGCAGCGGGGACACCTGAGAGGTGTGGGACCCCGGGCCGGGCGAGGCTAACGTGGGGGGCAGGGTGGCCCGGCCTGAGGTCTTCGTGGCCAGTCTCGGGAGCAGGCGCAGCCTGCGCGGTGACGGGGAGAGAAGGACCGCAGGCAGGGGCAGGGCCCCGGGACCGGGGGTCTGGGGGGCGCTGGGGTGGAAGCCGAGGAGGCTCTGGGAGCCGCTCACGGGCGAGAGGCGTGGCAGGGCACCCCGGAGGCTGTGGGGGCCCAAGGGGCCTGGAGGCCCTGGAGCTCAGCAGGACAACGCCCGGGGCCCTGTGGGGCCACCATGGGCGGGCTCGGCCTGTCCCTGGGAAGACAGGGCCTCCTGAGCACCCAGAGTTTTGGGCGAGGGCAGGGCGCACAGATCGCCCGCCGCCCGCATCTTCAGAGCTGATGGTCTGTCTCCGGACAGGGGGGCAGCAGTGGCCCGGGGGTCCTCAGGCTGAGGCTGCTGGGCCCGGGAGGGTCTGACTTGGGGCTGTGGGTCCCGGGGGTCCCGGGAGCTGGGAGGCCCTTGGGACGTCCAAGGCCCCACCCTGGCTTTCCCTCCGGCCCTGGATGGAGGCAGCGGGTCTGCGCTCCGGAAGGCTCTCTGCCCCCGCCGAGGCCCCGACACTTACTCACACGTGCTGTTATCTCTGGCGACTACAGACGCTGCCAGGACCAGCAGAGCGGCAGTTGGCAGCATCTCCGCCATCGTCCTGCCCCGGGCCCGGAAGCCCGCTGACCTCACAAAGCTCTGGGGTGTCCCGGCCAATCAGCAGGGCCACGGGCCCCCCACCCCCGCAGTCAGGCCTGTGGGAGCCGGCGCCGCTGGGTCACCCTGCTCCCCGGGGCTGACCTCTTGGGCAGTCCCGCCCTCATCCCCAGGCCCAGCCAGCCTCTGCATTCCTCTCTCCGGTCCAGTCCGGTCCGGTCCCCCCTCACCTGAGGGCGTATCTTTGTGGGGGTTCAGGGTCTGCCCGCCCCTCAAAATGTCACCAAAGGCCCGGCCCCAGGTCAAAGCCGGCAGCCTGGCTCCTCCCCTGCAGCAGGTGGAGGGAGCCGGCTCAGCACCGCGGCCGAGCGCCGCGTGGGTGGCTCCACCCGTCCCGGGAACATGCCGCCTGCTTACTTCAAAGCCACTTGGACTCTCCCCAGTTGAGGGCTGCGAGGGAGGCCGCCTTCCTCGGTCCCCCCGAGTGTCACAGGGGCCCCGCTTTCTGCTGGCCTGTGCTCCGGCCCCCTCTCTCTCTTGACCTGCAGTCACCAGGGGCCCCGTCACCAGGGGCCCCTGAACATCGCCACGTGCCCTCCCTTCTGAGAACCACCAGCGCCCCCCCCCCACTCCTGGCCTCTGAACAGTGTCGCCTGCCCCGGGGAGTCCAGTCCAGCCGCCCGTCGGCGCGTGGCAGGCCCCCTCGCCGCCCCGGCGTCGGGCGTGGGGAGCTCCCGTCCCGCTCGGAGGGCTTCGGGCTGTCCGCTGGCCCCCGGCCCACCCTGGGAGCACCCCCTCTAACTGGGCGCCACACGTCCTCACCGCAGGTCACCCTCAGGGTCACACTCCTGCCTCCGCATGCCCCGTGGGTCTCGTGGGTCTCCCCTGAGTGCCAGCCGGCTACCATCTCCTGGCCCCGAGTGTGAGAAGGCCTCTTTCTTTCCACCCCAGCGCCAGAGGCCTTCTCCCCGCCCCCAGAGGGTCCCTCGGGCGCACCTCTCCCTGGGAGCCGAGAGAGCGCGCGTGGGTCCCCTCTCACCCTCGTGAGGGCTCTGAGAGCTCACCTGCAGTTCTGGCCTGAGGGAGGTTACCCGGCCCCCACCCCCGGCCCGCCCCCTGCTGCCAGGAAGTGCCCCGGCCCCCGGTGGGCGAGGCCGTGGGTTTCCTCCTGCGTGTCGGGGGCTGCCACCTGCCCCCCCTGCTCACCCCACGGCCTCCTCGGACCCACAGACACGTCTGGGACCCTCATGCCGCCTCCCTGGCTGTCTGCAGCTTCCCTCTCCCCTTCCTGGCTGTTGGCGAGGCCTCGTCTCCCTGCCTGGGGGTCAGGAAAGCTCGTCGCCCCCACTGGAGTGGAGGGACACCTTCTACACCCTTCCCGAAGGTCACAACCCGGGGTGTCCTCCACCTGGTGTCGGGGGGACTCCTCCCTGATGGCCACCCCTTCTTCTGAGGGACCAGGGGTCTCATCTCCCCTCTTTGAGAGTCCCAAGGTCTGAGCTCCCGACCGGGGTGCTGGGCGCCCCCACTCCCCTAGCCGAGGGTCCGGACGTCGAGCGGCCCCGAGGGGTGTCCAGAGGCCCCACCTCGCACACCTCGCTGTGAGGTCTCCCTGCGGGTCGGGAGGTCTAGTCTCTCCCTCGACAGGGCCAGGACACCCCACCTTCGTTTCCCAGCGGGTGACGAGGCCTCACCCCCCGGCCCGCGTGGCAGGGTAACCCACCGACACCACTCGGGTCGGGACCTGCATCGTTTCCCCTTCTTCCCACGGGACTTCGGTTCCCTGGGGGAACGCAGTCAGGCCTCAACTATTTGGGTCCCGAGACTTTCTCTTTGTCTCTGCTGCCCACACGCCAGGAGGTCCCTCTCTCCCACCTGCCTGCGAAGAGGGCCCGTCTCCCTCCCTCAGCTCAGGGCGCTCGGGCCCCTTACCTGGCCGATGGGGTCTCCTCCTCCCCAGGCCTGCACATCCCACGGGTGCGTGTCTCCTGAGAGGGTTTCAGGAGGCCTCTGCTCCCCACATGAGGCCTAAGGTGGTCTCCTCGTCTTTCCCCTCCTCCCTCCCTCCCCCTTTATGCCAGGCGGTCTCCCCTCCTCTGTTGGAAGGTCAGGACATCCTGTGCTCACCATCCTGAGTGTGACCAGCTTGCAGCTCACCTGTGAGTGTGACCCGGCCTTGCCTGTTTTCAACGTGTCAGATGCACCAGATCAGTGAGCCGACGGAGGCTTTGGGAATAGAGTTCAAGAAAAGGCCACGGGAACTCGTGACGTGACCGGGGGGTGGGGGGGACCGTTGCAGAAAAGGCAGTGCGGGTGTTCTCACAGGATTTTGGTGGGTGTCGGATGGATATGGCATTTAGACTCTTGAGAATCTTTTCCCAGCATGAGGTGACCGTTTATTTCAAATGTTAACATGCACAATTTTCTGCAAATCACAGCTCTGCACGTATTCCAACCGTGGATCAGAATGCTGGGTGTCGCGTAATGTGAGACAAACGCTGAGGGCCACGCGGCGACGGGACGGACAGCCTGGCACCTGGACTCCAGGAAACTTCCCGCCCCATGAGGGGCTCCAGGCGTCCCACCTGCCCCGGACCCCAGGACAGGGTGGAGGGACAGCCATGCGGCCCACCCAGGTTTCACCTGGTCTGTCGTGGGCCCTAATGCAAGCAGCGAACCTCTCAGTGAAGAGCGACTTCTCTGGGCCTTCTCCGTGCTGTTCCCACACGCGCAAGTGGGCGGGACAGCCTGGACGCTGGGGCTACGGCACGGGGTCCCCGTGGCCTCTGGGGGCTCAGGCTCACGTGGAGCTCCCAGCCCCGGCCCCGCCCCCCAGGCCTCTGCTCCCACACCCTTCCCGCCAGACACACCCCCGGCCCTTCTCCTGCCCCTGCTCACCCTGACCTCTAACCCCCTCTGGTCCCCGCCTGCCCCCATCTCACCTCTCCCAGTCCCGCTCCCCGTCCCTGGTCTCCAGCCCGGCCTCTGCTGGGCAGACACCTTCTCTGTCCACCTGGCCTTGCACCCAGGCCCACCAGAGTGGGCCACAGGGCCGAGGGGGTGGCTGGAGCTGAGGGAGGGGCTTCCAGGCTCCAGAGAGAGTGTTGGGCAGTTGCTGAGGGCCCCTGAGAGGGTAGAACTGGAACATTCTGAGGTCAGGGGGAGACCAGAAGGGGCAAGGGAGGCCCCACTTGGCGTGAGGAAGACTCGGTTCAAAGGCACTGGGGCTTCAGCTCCTCTCGCACGTGGTCCCCCGGTGCACACCCCGGGGGTCCCTCTGAGCCATGGGGGTGGCTTCAGACCTGCGGGGACACTCGTCTTCTCCCCCTGGCCCCTGGGGAGCCTGGGGGCCGTGCCATCACTGCGGGGCTGGCTGCTCGCTCCGGCTCTTCCTTCCTGCCCCGCTGCAGGCCCGTTGCAGAGGGACCCGGCCCGTCGGAGCCTCCCCCCACACCAGACCCTCCCAAGGACCCACTCCTGGCTTCCCTCCTGGTCCCTTCCCATGGTGACCACAGTTTCTAACCTGAAAATGAAACGAGAAAACGTGACAGGTGGCGGCCTGTCGAGGTCCCATCACCCTTCAGGCAGTGTCTCCTCCTCGTCTTCCTGTCACCTCCCCACCTGGCTCCCCAAGGCACCTCTGCCTGTGCAGCCTCTGGGAAAACACCCCGAACCCACCGCTCCTCTCACAGCCCACCCCCCGACTCCCCCTGGGTCCTGGAGGCACCTCCCACAGGCCCCGCCCCCTGGGCCAGGACCTGGGGGTGTGGCGTTCACACCGCCCCGCCCCCATGTGGCCAGGCTCTGCACCCACCGCCCCCCCTGCGACCCGGCCAGGCGACAGTGCGTCCTTCAGGCCCCGGCCCTCCCTAGCCCAGACCCTGCAGTCGCCGCCTCCCACTCCACAGGACGCGTCCTCCCACTCACCTCTGTACCCCCTCCTGCCGCCAGTGGCCCAACACCGAGAGCCACCCCGCACCTGCCAAGGGGCAGCTGGCCGTGCAGGCGGCCGCTCGGGGAGACATGAGGCCCAAACGCAGGCAGCAGCCGTGGGCACAGGACGACGGGCAGGAGCCGCAGGGTTGGACACTGGACCCTGGGTGGAAAGGGGACAGGGCCGCAGAGGGTGGCCGGGCTTCTAGCTCGGGAGTGACCACTCACTGGGCAGGAAGGGAAGCTTCCGTGTGGGGAGCACAGGCTGGGGTCCAGTCAGACGCAGGAAGATGCGAGAAACCGGCCACATGGGCATGGAAGCGGGCGAAGACGCAGGCGAAGACGCCCGCGTGGCCCGTGCACGTGGCGGACGACCCCGTCGAGGCCGGGGCTGCCCCCGGGGTCCCCGGGGAAAGCGGGGTTTGCCCTCCCAGTATCTCCTCACACAGGCAACGGAGGGACAGTCTCATTTCTTATAAATTTATTACATAATATTATAATAATTATCAATAATAATAATATAAGAAACATAGATCTCTGTGGGGTGTATCACAACGTCAGGGTCAGGCGGCCTCAGGACCGGAGCAGGGGAACCCCCGGGTGGAGCTCCATACAAAAGGAGGGGTGAAGCGGTACTGACCCTGTAAAGTTAAAAACCCAAATTGAACGGAACCAAAAACCCACAGGTGAGTGTGAGGCCGAGTGTGTGTGTGGCAGCCTGTTACAGCGACTGCCGCGGAGCGGGCCGGGGCGTCAGTGGTGGGCGCTGGGTGCAACTCTGCCCAGGGGCGGCGCCGGCGGCTGGGGCAGGGCGGGCGGGCACAGACCGGCGTGCCGGGCCCCTGGGCTGTGAAAACTTGTGTTTTCTGTTTTTTTTAATTTTTATTAAAAAAAGCTAGAAATATAACAGAAACTTGTGAGTGACGTGGATGGAGCTTAGTCCAGACGCCAAACCCTAGGTTTAAAAACGTCCCAGGCCCCCCACCCCACAGGCCACTGCTGAGTGTGAGGAGTCACAGTACGGGGGGCTGGGGCGCCCTCTGGGGTCTTACAGTGGCCTGACTCCA